GGAATGCCTTTTTCCTGAAAAATATTTTGGGTGAGATTCATCTTTACACAACACTTATATTCTGCATTTTTTCAGAGTGCAATCAAATCTAAAGAAATAAAATGTTTTAGATGTTTGAATATGACCTTCCTTCCAGACATCAGTAGGATAAATAAAAATTGATATAGCCTGAAAGTCACTAACATCTGTGTTTTGTTGCTTTTGTTTTTAAAACAGAACAGAATTTGTTACCAGAATAAGAATTAATTGTCTGTAGTTAAAGAAATTGATAGAAATTTTGTGGAAATTTTTTAGGAATCCAGTCTGCTTTCTAATTTATGCTGGTAAATACGTGATCCATATCGTGCTTTGCAAATTTGCCAAAGATCCCACTCAAAGTTCTAATGTTTTGAGCAGGTAGTTTGACACTTTAGAAGTAAGAAAACTCTTTCAAGTTTTAGTTTTCTTCAGACTGGACTTACTAATTTGTGGGAAAGCCACATGTTAACTATGCCTAGCTTAGTAGACTGTGGGATGCTTTTTAGGCCTAGTTATATGTTATAGCCACATCCCAACTTCATAGGAGTGCAAAATTGAGTTGCTCATCAGTTCCTAATTACCTCACACACTTTTGAATTGAGCCAGAAGGAAATCTAGGCGTGTGGACAAAGAAGAGGCAGAAGTGGTCAGATCCCCTCTGACAGACAGACCAGCTGTGACTGTCACCCAGTCCAGATGGGGCCTCTGAGTCTGGGGAATGGCAAGAAGTAGAAGGCAGTTCTCTGAACGTAGTTGTATCTTTGTGCTTAATACAGATTTAAGATTATTAATTCTAGGGTTTTGGTGGGGTGGTTGTTTTTTGATTTTGTTTTGGTTTTATGTGTCTAGATGACTGGGGCGAAAGGACAATCGGACACACCCTATGAGGGAGAGCCCGTAGCTATGGAAACAAAAGGCAATCCAGCTAAGCCTGTTAGAACTGAAGGTGTGGCTAAAAAGAAGCTGAAGAACAATTACTGCAAACAAAGAATGATGAAGAAAAAGTGGAAAATTAAGTACAACAAAATGCAACTCAAGTAGGAATAGCTGAATCGTGCTGTGATAAGTATGACCTGGAGAAGAACAAGAAGAAACAAAAAAAAATGAGGTTTTCTTGCAGCTTCAAAGTAGCCAGAGCAAGCTGGCAGGTGAAATGGCTGCACAGCTGAAACATTCTGTAAACCTTGAATGCTTTCTTACTTCAGTGGACACATTTGAAGTGAAAGTCTCAAGTTCAGTCAGAGGAAAAAAGGCAAGTGTCTGCAGCTGAGGTTAGGGGACAAAAGTATCTTCTGTTGGTCTCACGATTTTCAAAGAAAATCTACAGCTTTAAGTATGAACCAGTGGTTGACAACAATATCTGATATCGTATCACAACAAGAAACAACTTTTTAGCTTTCTTAATTCTTCTTGAATCACAACATATTTTATTCTGACGTATTTTAAAGTTATATTTTACTTTGCATAATGTGCTTAAGGAGAAAACCTTGGATTTAGTTACTTAATCCTTTTAACGCAGTGTCTACCAGGTTTTTAATTACTTACAAAAGATACATTTTCTTTGTAGAATGGTGTAACAAATGAGGTTTGAGGAACAAAAGCTGTGTTTATTTGAGTAGTATGTACCATAAATTTGCACTAGGAAACTTATGAATACAGCTAAACAGTTAAAACACGTATTTTTATGCTTCCCCAAAACAGTTTCCAAAAATTGTTTATATTCTAGCATGTCTTCAGAAATGAATACTGCAGTTATTTACTGTATTTCTGGATGTCTGCAGCCTAAATTTCATATCAGATTGCACATAGATACGCAGTAGTGCTTACCCTGACATATTAAGGTTTGCCTGGAGGAGCAAGTGAAAGAATCAAGGCCTTAGTCTTCATTCCAAAAACTCAACCAGACTATGCTGTACATCAGCAGTTTGCTTGAAATTTAGAGCCAAACCGATAGAGGTAAGTTAGGATAGAGGTAAGCGTTAGTTAATGTTTATTGTCTGTAAAAGGCCAAGCAATGTGATGACATGTGATTTCCTAGTGAATCAGTTGTGTGGAAAAATTAAAGTTGTTTTGAATGTTAATATGTACATGTGTTCTGTGGTAGGTTTGTAACTAACATGATTGATTGCTTGTGAGGGAAGATTTCTCTGCATTACAGCTATTTAATGGTACATACTTTCAGTGTTTCATGATTTCGGTAGAAACAATCCTTGACACTGAGGCTCAAAAACTTCCTCTCTACCATTGCTTTTGTTTTGTGTTCTCTGGAGTTTTGCCCATGTCTTCCTATATTAGGAGTTACTCTTTTTAGAAGAGGTTTTGAATTCTTGAAAGCTTCAAGATTAAGTCCAATAAATTCTTTCCCATTGTTGCCTTTTAAACAGTACAAGTAACTGTTTCAAAATGTCTGAGCCATTTTTTGTTTGGATGATGTTCTGGAGAGCTGTTTGTATGCATGTTTAAACTACTAACACAAAAAACAAAGGTCTTAAAGATGCTCTTCTAAATCTTTTATTTGGACTAAGGAAGTTAACAAGTGCACATATGTGATCAAGCATTCTTTTCATGCTTGAGCTTGATGTGACACATTTTAATGTCATGAAAGTAAAAATAAAATATTTACATTGTTTATTGAGGTATATCTGGTATAAAAATCACAGAGTGTTAGGAGTTGGAAGGGA